TTTTATGCGATCTCGCCTCTCTCTCTTTTTTTATATCTACACTGTCTCTGCGCATGAATATTACAGCGAAGTCGCGCTATCTCGAACTTTTTCAAATTCGCAGCGAGGTCGTCGCGGCGGCGAACATTTTTATTATCGGCGCGTGGGTAAGAATCGAGTTAGAGTTTTGATTTTCCGCGCTATTTCTTTCTCGTCGTCCGTGATTATCATTTCGCTATTCAAAATACACGGATGAGCCCCCGTTTCGCTGCGTCCATGAATAAAAGCGATATTTTATCAATGAATCATCGATTCGCCGCTCGTTGTGCGCGTGTTGTCCTAAACGATCGTATGCATAATGTAAAAAGCGCTGATTTCAGAGCTGTTTCGATTCGCATGTACGACTCTCTCGACGTACCATAAGTGCAATAAATTTAATTGACCTGTAGTTAAAGTGTCGGCAGTCATTCTTTATGTACGGCCGCGAATGTTTTCACCTGCTCGGCTGAGCGCAATTTTATATTTGATGCTCTAGATAAAACCGATATATACAAGGTGAGTCAACCAATTCACGAAGACCAAAGTACACAGTGCGATTCTTGTTATTTTTCACGTAACAGTTGTAAAATTACGTTCGATGAAAAGCTTCAATGATAAATCATTCGATAATTGATACGTCGCGAGCGAAGAAAAAGGACGCGCGGGTGCTGAAAGCAATCGCTCGTGCGCTGTCTCTCTCTCACTTTTTTTCCTCCGCAATCTAGCCTTAGAGAGAGAGAGCACGTTGAATACCCGCAATTACAAAAATGACGCAGTGCGGACGCGGCGAGGGAGAGAGATGCTATCTCGTCCGTGTGCCACTCGTGTCCTCGCGCTGCTGCCGCCACTGCTGAGCTTTGCCTTTCCACACCCTCGCGCGCGCGTCTCTTGTATCGAGTGTGCCGCAGCAGCAGCAGCAGCAAACCAATCGTTAGTCGCAGGCGTCGTTGTCGTCGTCGTTGTTGCATCATTACTGCATCATTTTCGTAATAATTACATCCTTTGCTCGCGCTAAAAGGAGGCGAATGAGAGAGACGAGCAAAAGACAAACTGAAAGCTTCGCGGGGGTGAAAGCCAAAGAACGACGCTGCAATTATCTACTACGCTTTTTTTCTTCTCTCTCCTTTTTTTTTCTCACCACATGACTTGTGTTTGAAAATTGAAGTACTGACCCAAATATACGGTCCAAGACATGGAAGATAACGGCGCGTACGTGAAAAATATTTTCAAATATAACGCGAGAATTGAAAGAAAGTGATGATTGTTGCTGGATTCAGCGAATTTCATTATAAGACAATTTTTAAACTTAAATTTTTTACCCCGACAAAAAAATCAGCTTTTCGTAAATATTTTTGAAATGTTCATTCCCGTAGTTTCTATTTTCGAAACTTGATATTAGATCTACTCTAATTTGGAGTATAGTTTATTTGTTGAAGACTTTGATGGCAATTTTAATTCAAAAATATCTTTGTTTACAATTTTTATGGCACGATCATTACGATCGCAATTAAAATCGAATGGAAATTTCAGATTTTCATACGTTATGGATTCGATCTGTAAAAATATCATAAATTTATTGAGATTATATTCTAATTGAGAAACTCTGAACTGTTTATGAGTTTTCCATCCGAGCCTCGCACCTAATGTTGACCCAAATCGATTATGTTTACAGTGTGTCGAATTGTCGTAATGCCCGTCGAATTATTATTTCCACAGAAGAGACGATACTCAATGTTATTTATGTACACTTATAAATTAATTTTCTAACAATTGCTGAGCAATCATACGGGTTTAATGTACAGCTGTCGATTTTCAAAATATTTTGATTACCATTTCTAAGCATGACGTGTATTAATTTTCTCCGCATTTGTTCCACATTTTGAGTTCGTGCGTGTGCGAGGCATCAGTATCGTATCGAATTTTGCGAGGAAAGGAAACTATTATTCCGTCAGTTAAAATTTCATTTCCAACTCGCACCTCTCACGAACTGAAATCTCCTTTTTCAACTGGACCAACTTTGATCTTCCATCATGGCCACCGCGAACAATGGGCAGACCTTCTTGTTATCAGTAGTCATATGCGCTGCTATACATAGCGTTTTATGGACCGTCTACTCTTACATTGATCCGACTAATCGTGTTCCTAAGTATTACTTTCTTGCACTTTCGTTTTTCATTGTACAAATACTAGTCAATAAGATTCGTAAAGCTATAGGTTATTAAGCAAAAATACCATGTTCGAAACAGTGACGTAAATTTGTTTTTTCATGCTTTTTAATATTCAGTAACTTGACTAATAGTTTTGTGATTATTACCTCGACGAATTTATAATATTTGTAAAACGCACTGCTGTTCGTACAATGTTTTGTATAATTTTGTCACTTGCTTATGTACTATATGTAATTTTATCTCAATAATAATTTGGACTCAATATGTGATTTGGTTTTGTTTTAATTATTCCTTTACCTTTCTAATAATTCATAACTTTCATGTATTATAATTAAACATCAATCTCGACAATCTACTTTGAAATCAATGAAATAAAATAAAAAAATGTTCTGATTTAATTTTATATTGATATTGATTAAATGAAATTAGCTTACTTTTTATATTCGATTTTCAGAAATACAAATCTAACGTTACGTATTTTACATACTTTAAATAAATATTGAGGTTTTTATCTGTTTGTTTTCGCATGTGGAGAAAAGCAACACCAATCGATTTTTGAAAAAATTTCACATCAGAACATCTATTAAAATCGTTCTCGACATTAAAACTGAATTTATTTCAGTATAATCCTTTTTTACCACGAAAGCCATGATCTACCCCCATCCATCGCAAAAAAGTTCCATGAATATCGCGAACGATTTTGCATGTACCCTGGTATACGTTAAGATGTAGTGAGGCGTAAAATTTCCTGTTAAGAATCTTGATTATAAAAGTCTGTCAATCGTAAAATGAAATTCTAATATCTAATTTCCCTAGACACATATATCAGCAAAAAGAAAGTTGCTGATTCGATACGCAATCAATTATAATAAATCCATTTTTTTTTAAATAAAATAATGCGCCGAGCTCTACGATAGTTCGAACGAAAATTCAATACATTTTTAAATAGAAATTCTACTGCTTACGTCGAGCACAAGTGTGTGCGCGCTTGTGTGTGTGTGAGAGAAAGAGAGAGAGAGCAACGCGGGAGAGAAAACATCTCGCCGCGCAGTAGTACGCGTCGCTGATATATTTATAGTCTCGCGACTCTCTGTCGAACTATAATGGTAAAAAGGTCAAAGCTTCTTGTACATAGAAGACCAAGTTGCTGTGCTCGTGAGTTGCGGTACTACTACACCTTATACGTGCGCTAGTACGGTATATAGCGGCAGCGGGTCGACGCTGGAAAATCTTTTCATGAATGATTCAGTGCCTACTTAACACCTCGGGACGTAACATTATTTTTTCATTGACGAATTATACTTTTTTTTCAGGTTATATTTCGGCGAATACGTAATATTTAAAATTACACGGTCGGCAATAAAAAAAGTTATCTTCGTTCCATAATTCAATCTTTTTTCGCACGGAATTTCGACGTGCTTTTTTTGAGCTTTCTATCGAAAATCTTTTGAAAAAATCACATGGATGGTCGTTCGTTTCATTGTATGTTAAACTTTCGCGTAATCTTTTATGAAAATATTCAATGGAATAGAATGCCCAGAGAACCTATTCAAACGTTTTGATTTTTTCTCTGGCTTCGGAATCCTCGCGAGACAATCCAAAGAGAAATGATCTATTGTATCGTTCGTACTTTTTTCGAATCGAGCTTTACATTCAAAGCGCTAAAAAAAAGTTTCCTCGTGGTAAACGTTTTATCACTCGGTGAAAAAGTTTTACTTTGGTGTTCGAGCAGACTCAATTAAACGATACAAACAGGCTGATGAATTACTCTAAGCCTACGCTATTTGTTTCCAACAAGATTTTAAGGTTATTCCTATCAAAACATCATTTGAAAAGCAAGCTTAAAAAATAACAAGCTTTCTCAGATGTGTATCTCATCGATCTCAACGACGATGAGCATATATGTTTGTTGTGTACGTGCGAGGGCTTATTTAACCAAAATAGCACACACAAACACACACACATACATACGAGCACGCGCGAACGTCAACCAAGTTCGTGCGTAACCTTCATCTTGGTTTTTTTCTCTAAAAACACTTTTAGTTTTATCGAACATACGTGTATTCATTGAAAATTATTTTACTGCAGTTCGAAATCGTCAGCTGACGACCGGATACAGTTTTCTCAAAACTTTTAAAAATACACAGTCTACTCATTCCCGTACGATGCATAGTCATACAGCAGCAAGCCGAGCACGTGAGCTTGCGACGTGCGTGCGCTGCTATTTCCTCTCTCTCTCTCTCTCTCTCTATCTCTGTCTCTTTTTCGCTCTGCATTATGGTGTGCTTACAACCGTACGGAGCTTAATGCATGAAAATATCCAAGACACACATACACACACACACACACACACACACTCGTTCGTGAGTAATTATTTATGCATAACTCTTTTCTTTTTATTTTTTACACCCTCTCATACGGTCGTGCACTGTACACGTTAAGTTTCTTTATACTTCCTCGTTCTTTTCATTGATTTCGCTGTGCAGCGGCTAATAGCAGTAGCAGCAGTAGCAGCAGCAGCAGCAACAGTAAGCTCTGCCGTATAGCGGTGGCCTACATTGGCACGCATAATAGGACATTCGTTGCTGATACATAAACAAGATAACACGCGCGCACAGCATCGATCGGCCACTTTGTATTATATGGGGAAAGCACCAAGATAGAGAATAGAATTATTCCATACAGTGCAGGAGAAAAAAGCTCGAGCGAGCGAGCTTTCGCCACGCTGCCATTGGTTCGGAGTAATTCCGTATGTATTGAAGTAACAAGTGGATGACGAATTTACAGGAGAGAGAGAGAGATTTGAATATTTACCAAGGCGACGAGCGGCATGATGATTTGCTCGATGCTGCGAGTCTTGAAATCGCAAAGCAGCCGCATTTGCTCGTAGTAGTTCGTGTCGTCGGCGGAAGCATGATGATCAATGTTCGTGCGATTTTGCGGCGACGTTGTCTCGAAATTCGAAGTTGGCGAGGCAGCTGCAGCACCAAGTTCAGTCGCTGTCGCCATTTCTAGCCGCGCACGTTAAAACAACAACAACAACAACAACACCACTACGCGACACACATGTGCGACTATTTTTTTTTTGTATTTGTTTTTTTTTCAATGTTTACGAATCTCCGAAACTCTCCACACTACCGATAATACTCGAGAAGCCGAGGAGGACCCTCGATGCCCACGTATCTACGTGCTAGGCAAAAATTTTCTTTCTTTTTTTTTGTTCGCTCGTTTCTCCACTATATGCAGCTGCTGCTTGGCCCGCGCGCACGCGGACGCAGAGCGAGAGTTGAAGTGTGCACGTAGTCGTCGTACGGTACGGTAGCACACGACGCGAAAGAGAGAGAAGCACACATATAGAGGAGGGTTCGTTGCACCCCTCTTTCGTTCGTGAGTCGAGTCGAGTCGAGTCGCCGCCGCGTGCGCACACGCAATAATGTGCGTGCCGGTATACTTATTGCGCGAGAGTGTGTGTGCAAGCACTGCTGCTCAACACATATTCGCAAGCTGCGCCGATACTACTGACCCTCGGTGGCGGTTCGGCCAACTTCCGACTGCTCTATATATTTGTATATAAAAGGTTCGCCGTTTATATATTTGAAAATTCGCGACGACTTGCCGTTCGGTGCTGACATCCGATGGTTGCTCGGAGAACACTGGAGAAATCGGTAAGGTAGAGAGTGGCGGGTAGCGTTGGAAGCGAGATGGTACTGTAGGAGGGAGTTTGGGTAACTGAAATATTTATGAAATGATTAAAAGTACATACATAGTATAGTTTGTTTTTATAGATGACACGAAAACAAAAGAAACGATGCATGTCTTGATTATTGATATAGTTATATTTATTTACTGGCATATACTTGATTAAACCATAACGATCGATTTAAAATGATTTTACACTCGCAACATGATCATAAAATTTTTAACAAATGAAATAGTTTATTTTTAAAAATCTGTAGAATATAATGACTTACAAATAAATTACGTTTTAATTTAAGCTAGAACTTTGGAAATTACTCGCCTGATAAAGCTGATTCGTTTTAAAATCAGCTTTAAAGAATAAGAGTTTTTCGCTGCGATAAGAACTAAAAAGTAATAATACTTGCATCGATGTTTGCGTACTCGAGTTTAGATCGACAATGACTAGCACTAAACGTACGCAGATTTTATCGGTTTTTTGTTTTACATAACAAAATTATTATGTGATTTTTGAAAAACAACGTAAGTTGGTAATCTTTTCACATCACATTTTATATTAAAATAATATAATTTTGAAGACATTTTACGTTGAACGAGAAACTTTGAACGTAAAAATTATTTTCAATTAATTTAAAATCCTGCATTTGCAAATTAGTCATATTCTAAAATGTGTTTTTAAGTTGTTAATTTGTATTGTTATCAAAATTTCATTATTGAAAAATATTTAATTAAGAGTTGAAAATAATTACTTTTACGATGAAAGTTTCTCTCTTCCACGTCAGCTGCAGGACCTAGCTATTTTTCTGAATTTCATCGCTTTCGTTCAAGTATTATCTTGCCGCTAATATTTGGCGCTAATGGAGCTCTTCTTTTGATTGGCTTCCCAGCAACTAGTTTATCTTTCACCACTGGCAGTCCATCACTTGCGCCTTTGCGCTTTCGTAAAGACTCGGTGGGCAAATACCTCGCGGGTCTTAATAATTTTCGAAAATTATACGGTCCGTTTATATCTTCACTGTCTTGTTGCACCTGGATAGCATTGACTTTTCTCTTCTCTTCTTGGTTAATTTTCGTTATCGTTGGTCTCAAAAATTTACGTAAATCTGGAGTTATTCCAACCATACGATCGTTGATGGATTTTATAGCGATGTTCGCTCGAACATTCACGAGGTTACGTGGCGTCACGGGTTTATGATGAAAATTGCTTGAATTCATGTTGCTATGTTTCAAGTTGTTCCTATTGTTGATATTGCTTATTTTGTCACTGTATGCAATATTATCATTGAATTCTTGACTATTCATTTTATCAGTTATGATAGGTTTTGACTGACGACTTATATTATTATTAATACTATTATTATTGTTATTATCATTATCATTTTTATTATTATTTCTATTAATGTTATTTTTGTTAGTAAAATTATCATTGGGATTTTGCAGTTGTTCAGCTCGTTGTGTCTGTTGATGTTGATTATTAACTATTCCATTGATAGCTCTTGCATAGCTATTGATTTCACTAATCTTGTATCCAGCTCCGTTACGTTGATTTTTTCCATTATTTAGATAGAAATGTGTACCATTGGCAAAATTATGAACATTACGTTCCGGAATTTGTTTTCTATACTCTGGTGAGGATTGCAAGCCATTACGATAATCTTCATTCCTTGAACTGCAAGAGAATTTCGTAAGTTAAAAAAACAATGATAAAATTTGATTATTGAATTAGTCAAATTTTGTAAGTTATTTTTAAATCACTAATTTACCTGAAAGTTTGCCATGATACCTCTAGTGAGGTAGAAGCAATAGACAATAACACAAAATATTAATTAAAATGATAAAAATCATAATTATAATCACGAAAAACTACTTCACGCATACAAAAAAAAAGTTTTTAATCTTACAAATAAATAAAAAATATATAAAAAATGAATGTTAGTGCTTGACGAATATTTAAAAAAAAAATTCGTACTTAATTTGAGTTGCCGAAGTATCCCCTTGTGTCTCAGCTGGATTACTCAAAGCTTTGTGCCAAATGTCCGAGAGTTGTTGCTCTGAGGCGACTTGATAATCGCCGTGGGCTTGAAGGCGATCTTTTCTCACCGCTTCCATCTCCAACACTTGTCCCATGCGACCTCTGAAACATTCATTATCAATTGATGAGAGGGAGAAAATTTTTCTATAGTCTTTACTACCCCGCCTGAATAAAGCTCGCGCGATTAAATACTCTGAAAGTCAGTTGCAAACAGGAGTTACAAGTGTAGAGCTTTCGTACTAGTTTATACCAAAAAGATATGGAAAATATGGACATTTAAAGTTGAAAAAACTGTAATTTAAATAGCCACATTTTGTATACTTTTTTTGGGAACTACTTTTCTATGATGGTTTTTAGAGAGTACAATAATATGAAAAATTTGTACAACTACAAATTTCTGAATGAAATCATGCTTCATAAGGTTACTTTCAAAAATTGAAAAAGTGTTCGCAAAACTTTAGTCAAAAATTGCACATGTATGTACAAAAAATATACACGAATCTAGCTTGAACTAATATCACTCCAATGGTACCTCGCTGAAGGTTGGAGGTCATTTTCCAGCTGTATCATTGGTAAGTCCCAATTAATTTCCTTTTCTGCTTCTGAGTCCGAACCACTTTTGATGTAAGTTCCAAAATCAAGGTAAAATATGGCATTCAATACATTTTTTATTTCTTATTTTATTAATTATAAAATCCTTGTCAAATAAATTTCCAAATAAAACGCTGCTTTGGTTGAAATAAATAGTTTGAATATTTACCTGCTGAGATCATCTTGCAAGTCGCGATAATACTTGACAGTATTATCTTCGATTTGTTCGTCGTCACGTGATTCCAAGTATTGCCGAATTATATCGAAATTTTTCGGTCTTACGTAATCTTCTGGATTTTCTTCAATTTCGCTTATCGGAACAGGGCCTTTATTCGCTCTTAGATACTTATGCACTTCTTGATTTTTCATGTGTACCTGATAGAATTTTTTAAATTAAATCATTTCGATTGAAGAATGTAAGAAAACAAAATGATAAACTTACAGTCTGTGCGAAGTGAATAAGGTCGGCCTGTCTAAGTTTTGGATGGACCGAATCTTTGACTGGAACTTTTTTACGAATTGGACCCTCTGTCTTATACCACCTCTTTATGATAAGAGTGGCATCATCTGGTTTGACACCTTCACGCAGTAAAGCCTGGTGGGCTTCTCTTTTATCGTCGTAATCATTCAAAATTCGCTTGTATCGTTCCTCCAATTCTAGGCCAAACTTCTTGCGTATAGTGTAACCCCTGAAATGACTCTGTATGACCAGAGCAGCTTTTTCTTCGCTTTCTTGAGTTTCTGAATTTTGCCTTGATCCTCGAACGCGATTAGCTGCTTCTTCTGCAAAACGAAGTCATAAATTTATCAGTTTGTATAATTTCACTTTTTAAAGAAATATTATTTACAAAACTAACCAGCTGCTTTTTGCACAACACTCGATTCTTCATTGCGACTTTTAAGCGCTTCAATCGCATGTTTTCTCGATAGCCAGCCCCGAATGTGTCGTTGCAATGTCACAACCGACACGGCGAGCTGCCATTTTTCACGCTTGAAACGAATCTTCGCTAACCACCGACGAACGCACGCCTGCACCATAACGATTTTTTTCAACTGCTCTTCGTACTGCTTCGAGAGAAACTCGACGTGGTAATATTTGAGGAAAACTTTCGTCCTTCCTAATGCCCAACCATCCATTTTTAATCGAACCAAAAGAAGTCGACAATTATCACGATTAGCAATCACTCTTTCATCCCATCCAAAAGCGAGGAAACAGTATCTAATGAAATAAATTAATGTATTTTAATAACAGTTTTTATACTGTTAACAATGTACACATTAAAATTAATTTAAAAGTGAAGGAAGTTTTTAATTTGAATTAAATTTAAAGAATTTTTTTAAATCTTATCATAAAGTTAGCCTTGTCAATTAGATATACATATAATGTACAAAAATTATAACTTATATATTACTTTACTTATATATTTTACTTATATGCTTATATTTTGACTTTGCTACTTGCAGATTTACAAATATTAGGTTACTCGCCATCTACCGGTGGGAGCTGGATTTAATTTTCATTGAATTTTCATAAATTTTTTAAGTAATTTACGCAAAAAATAAATCAGTATTAAAAGTAGAGTTGAATCTTTTTTAATGATGTTTGCAAACAAATTAATGTTCGAGATTGCATTCATGCATTTTTTGCGCAGTTTATGAGAAAAAGGAAATCAGTACCGATACATTATTTTTGAACGAAGTTAGTAAAAAAATATAACTTACCTTTTTAAGAATTCGTTGAAAGGTATTCGATGAGAGAAGCCGTTTTGCCTAATCCTAATCGTCTCCAATATACCGGTGTATCTGAGTTGTTTAATGACCTTTTCTTTGTCGAAGAACTTGGGACTTCGATTGTCGTTCGGCTTGATGCAGCGAACGAATTGCGGGGAGCCGGAGACCATTTTTTGCAAGAGATCCATCAGCGAGTATCTGAAGTAAGTGGCAACGGTCTGTTGAGCTCGCGATTGCGACGCCAAACCTCTACTGGAGTAACGTTCCTGCGAAAGAAAAAAATGTTTCATTCCGATCTAAAGTCACTCAGAAACCATTGACAATGTTCAGCTTCATTTTTTTGTACCTTGGTACTGTGGCCCGACGGCGATAGCTTCCTCGAATTTACATCCTGCATCGCCGAGTAGAGATTGCCGGTCTTGGTGATCGGGCACTGAAACAGGAATCGAACCATGTCGAATTGCGACTGACGCACGAGTTGTATCACCTCGGGTGGCAAAAAGTTTCTATTTTTCTCGAGAAAACCGTCGGCTTGATAAACGACTCGACCGGCAAAGTGGTGAATGGCAAAACATACGGCATCGGACTTGGGCCTTACGTAAAACTTTGATTTGATATTGTTGTGGAATTTTTCTGCAAATAAAGAAGCAGCATTATTTAACGAATTTCTTTTCATGAATTATTTAATGATGAATTCTTACCAATCAAAGATTTATCATTAGCCCTTGGAAAACGACTTTCTTCATCCAAAAGAGCTAATAAGCCCATGGGCTTGCTCAGCAGCATATCCAAAACTGGCCTGTTATCCGAAAACTCAACTAAATCCACGGGAATACCTTCGGCCATGTACTCCTGCTGTTCCCAGGTGAAAATATGTTGGTTGAAGTAATACTGGATCTGTTCGTTGGCGATGTTGATGCAGAGCTGCTCGAACGAGTTCTTGGGGAAGTTCTCGAAGCCGAAAATGTCGAGCAATCCGATGGCGAGTGGCTCGTACATGGACGAACGATTGAAGCTTAATAAGCAATTAATCTGATTAACCATCCAATCGAACAGACGGCCGTACAAGCCCTTGGCCATGGCGTCGCGAGCCGCGCAAGACTCTTCCACGGTGTTGTTTCGCGTGATAGTTTCTCCGCGAGTTACCACTGAATTCGACGTCAGGGCTTCGATCAGATCGTCCGGTTCGACTCCCAAAAGTTTGGACACTGAAGAATTGAAACATTTTCATGTAAACCGTAGAAATTTACGTTGCTCGATATTGTAATTAAAAAAAAAATACCTCTTATGACGGGCTCGTTGTCGACCACGGCACTCTTGTTATCGGTGTTATCCTCGGAGAGAATTTCCACGAACTCGATGTCGCCGAGATGCAATATCGCCGCCAAAACGCTGTACACCGTGTCGACTTCGGTATCCGCGAAGCCGAGAACCTTGAAACCAGCCTTGAGCTGCTGGAACTTGTCGATGTGGGTTTGCGTATTGTCCGCGGCAGCATCGGTCAGATAGCGATGCGTTTTTCGGATCTCGGGGCTCAGGAAAAACTCTTCCAGTCGACCGTCGGCCTCCAGACCGTCGTACATATAATAAAATATGTGGAAATTTCGCTCCTCTCTGAGAACGAGACGAGTCGATTGTTTTATTTTAGCTCTCTCAGTTTGAGAATGAAAAAAAAAAAAAATACTCACTCCGCCTGTGCCACCACGCGAGACTGCTCGAGCAGGTAGACGGCGATTCTAGCCCCGGTGACTTTTCCGCCGCGCGTCATCGTCAGATCCAGATACTTGCCGAATCGCGACGAGTTGGCGTTTATGCCCGTGGTCGCGTTTCCGAACGCCTCCATTATCGGATTTATCTGCAGGATGCGTTCCTCCAGATTCCTGTTGGGAGCCTTGCTCAGGTAGACCAGTTGCTTGAGAAGCAAATTGGCGGACTCGGTTTTACCCGCGCCCGATTCGCCGCTTATGACTATCGCCTGATTCTGACGCTGATGAAGCAGCGCTTGATAAGCCGCGTCGGCCACGGCAAATATGTGCGGAGGATTGTCCGAACGCGCCTGACCTTTGTAACGTCGTCGTTCCTGTAGTTGAAAAAAAGAATGATCAATCGATGGGGCCTACGTTCAGTGGCTAATTAGAAAAGTTCGGTTTCTACGCAAATTTTAATTTGTCGCTCGCGCCATGCGAAAAACTTAAATATAAGATTTTTAATTGATAAAAATACTCAGAAAAGGATAAAACAGTAACGAGATCTTTTACTAATCTAAATAGATATGGAACACGTTTTTTAGTTTAAATTAAATAATTAAGTGATGTCCACGGTAATTTATTTCAGTAATAAATAATTGTTCTCGCTAGATCGCGTCTCTTCTAGCAGAAATAGTCGATCTTTGACTAGTGCATGTTTGATCAATTCAGCATGTCAATACGTAAGGTTTATCAAAAATCCAGTAACCAACTTAATTTTCTCCTCGTTCACAGCTTCCATCAAGACATGAAAAAACTCTCTATGCTAAAAGTTACATGAATAGCTTCAGTAATCAAGTAACCAAAAAATAAACAGAGAGTAATGTAGTAATGAGCAATGAAAGTTAGTTTAGTTTAATAATAAAACCCTACAACGATAATATGCTAAGGTGTAATGATAGTTGATATCAGGTGCAGGCACAATTTTTATTTAAAGTAATGAAAATATATGCATCTATGTACATTGTACATATTCACAATTGTCGGTCAAATTTTATTTTGCATCTCTCACATGCGTAGTCTTTGCCGCCTTTATAAACAGTTATTATTAGTGTTTTAGCAAATTCACTAATAGTCTAAATTTTTTCTCGCATTTCTTTTCGACCTTCGTGTACTGTCTTTTGGTGCCTTAACAAATTAGATTTATGTCCAAATTTCTTCTCACACTTGTCGCATGCAAAATCCTTGCGACCTTCGTGTACTATCTTTTGATGAACGAGCAAATTAGATTTATGTTTAAATTTCTTCTCACACTTGTCGCATGTGAAACCTTCTCGACCTTCATGGATTATCTTTTGGTGGTAGAGCAAATAAGATTTACGTCCGAATTTCTTCTCACACTTGTCACATGTGAAATCTTTCTGACCTTCATGGACTGCCTTTTGGTGCGAGAGCAAATTATATTTATGTCCGAATTTCTTCTTGCATTTATCACATTCGTAATCCCTGCAACCTTCGTGAACAGTATTTTGGTGTTTAATTAATGTCGATTTTTCTCCAAATTTCTTTTCGCACCTGTCACATGCATAATCATTTCGACGTTCATGTACTGTCTTTTTGTGCCTGAACAAATCTGATTTTTGTCCAAATTTTTTTTCGCATTTATCGCATGCAAAATCTTTGCAATTTTCATGGACTGTTTTTAGATGGACGAGCAAATTTCTTTTTTGTCCAAACGTCTTCTCGCACTTGTCACATGAGTAATCTTTTCGACGTTCATGTACTATCTTTTGGTGTTTGCTCAAATTGCCTCGGAGTCCAAATTTTTTTTCGCATTTATCGCATGCAAAATCTTTGCGGTTTTCATGGATTATCTTCAGGTGAGAGAGCAAATGGGATTTGTGTCCGTACTTATTCTCGCATTTATCACATGCGTAATCTTTGTGACCCTCGTGGATTGTTTTTATGTGCCATAGCAAATTATGTTTATTTTCGAATCTCTTCGCACACTTTTCACATAAATAATCTTTGAAAACTTTGTGAAATATTTTTTGGTGTTTGAATAAATTTGATTTATTTTCAAATTTTCTCTCACACTTACTGCATGAGTAATCGTCGTGATCTTTGTGTACTAATTTTTGGTGCGTAAACAAACTCGATTTTTTCACAAATTTTTTGTCACAATTGTCACATGCAAAATTTTTGTTGCCTTTGTGTACTGATAATTGGTGTCTACTCAAATGACTTCGGAACTCGAATTTCTGTTTACATTTGTCACAAGCGTAATCTTTTCGTTCATCCAGAATTGTATCTCGGTGTGTGATCATGCTTGATTCTAATAAAAATGACTTTTGACAAATATCGTCAAAGCCTTGTTTGTCGTCCGAAACAACAGTGTCATGTTCAATCAAACTATTTTCCAAGACAACTTTGTTGATTTTCTTCTCGCTTTTATCCATTTTAGTATCTGAGTTAAACAATGGGTCCTGCAAGTTTGTGCCACGGAAATTGAATGAGTAAAATTTATCTTTTGGTGTTACGGCTTATTTCATCAAGAAAGACAACATTCAAACTAATTTTGTTAAAACTAATTGTTTGTTCAAACTAATAATGTTTGTACTATAAACATAATCAATGTGTCGAAGGACGATGTCAAAATCGTTATGAGTGTATTATTTACATTTAAGTTACCGATTTATCTGTGTATACGTTATCCTTACAATATTTGAACCAATTTAAAATTCAAATTTATTTATGATTTCTTCGTGGAATTTTTCGGCCTTCTACAAAATCTTCTAACAGACAACATCGAGTTTACACAAAAAAACATCGAGTAAATAAAATCCTTATACGCATTTATAATGAAAAAATTTAATATTCATTCCAGAACTTGCCATGACGTGTTTGGCTTACTCTGTAACCCACCCCTGCCTATAAAATTATCACAAATGAGAATAAATTGCACAATTTCCATACCATTCCAGTGTACAAGCCGAGATTGGTGAAAGGATTGACTGACACGAGTATGTCTCCGATGTACGTGTAAATCTGCGATCTTTCATAGCGATTTTGTAATTGGTCAACAATAGCATCTTCGGAAAGAACATCCAACGCGGCTAGGTCATCCATGTACATCTTTTCGGGTCTGGTTTTGCGATCTGTCTTCAATTTTCCGTGCTTCGTCGTAACGTCGGGTTGATGAACGACTCTACCTTCGGATCTACACAAGAACAAATTTATATATCAATGATACGCTCCGCAGGAAATAATTAAATCTCATTAACGAAGTTTACCGATACTTTTGAATCTCCTCTTTGATCTGCAGCCTTATTTCTTCGAGCCTATCCTCGACGCTCAACAGCAGCGGATGCTCTTTGAGCTCGCAGGCGAACGGTCGATGCTCCATGTCCTTGACCAAGCACTCGGCGATGAAATCCGACAACTCGGCCGAATGCATGTCGGGAATTTTCAGGCTCGGCGGTGGATTGCGCGGTATCTGAAACAGGGCTCGCATCGGGTGCAGCTCGAAGAGCGGCGGATCGCCCTCGGCCAGCTCGATGGCCGTTATGCCGACCGACCAGATGTCGCAGCGCGAATCGTAGGACGAATCCAGCTGCTGCTCGCAGGCTATCACCTGAAACGAGACGGTCGCCACGGCGACCTATTATTAGGCATGATAAATAGGAGGTACGACGACGACTGTTTTACAAATGATTCGATGAATTAAGTTTGATGCTCGGTCGAAAAAAAAAAGAAATGCCACACTTACTTCGGGTGCCATCCAGTACGGCGTACCGACTGAAGTGTTTCTTCTCACGTGAGTGGCGGCCAGATGAGAGGAAACGCCGAAATCGACCAGTTTCACGCGTGCATCTTCAGTCAGCAGTATATTGTGACCTTTAACATCTCGATGCATGCAATGATTATTATGTAAATAGATTAAGGCTTCAACGGTGTCGTGCAGAATATAGGCTATCTGATCGTCGGTCAAACGGCTTCCACGTCTCTTCAGACCCTGGACGAGGTCTGTTACTGACCCACCAGTGCATAGCTTAAAAAAGAAAAAAATACGATTTTTAAGCATGCAGAGCTCGTACATCGGATGATTATTTTATTATAAAATTAATATCGGTACTTTAGATTAACGCGAGTTTTTATTTGAATTCGAATTTTTTCACTTAAATAACTATGCAATACGGATATAAGATTTTCAATTCCAAGAAAAAGTATAATCCTGTAATATTTTTTCTAATTCAAATAATATTACGTGACATAATATTAATGATTATCCGAGTAGAAATGCTAGACATTAATAATGTCCCGATGATCGAAAAATTGGTTTAAAATATACATCACAATTAATAAATGACCTCAAAATGATAATTAAATTTTTTCAAAAAATTTAGGTTAATTTTTGATTACTTTACTTAAGCCTTCGCCACTAGATGGCGAGTACCTTTACCTACAAATGTGCAAGTGACAAAGTAAAAATATTTGTATAAGTCAAAACACTATTTTGAAAAAGTACATCGTTAATAAGCTTCTGGTCGTCTACCGCTTCAGCCTACTTGGCCTAGAAGCCTTGAAAAAGTATGTAAGCAATTATTGCCATGATACTCGTCATATAATTTTGACCATTTCTAATAGGATATTTTTAGTATTTTATAAAGCAATTTATGTTCTGTGTTTTTAACATCAATAACTAAGATAATAATTCTTCGCTCGTTCGCGTGAAAAGTGCGATACAATACAAGTATTACTTTCTCGAGAGATAGAACCGAGAGCAACCGATGATGCATGACGCCGATAATGATTTCGCAGTTATAAAATTGGCCGAGTCCGTTGTATCTCAGCTCGTTCCAGGCTGAATAACTTTTTCGCTAACGTAAGTAAATTCAAGCCAAGATAGTAAAAAAAAACACGTTTTTTTTTCCACAAAGACTACATTCAAATTTACCTCCATGACGAACCAAAGTTGATCCTCTTCCTGAGCCGGTTTCGATCTCTTGAGAAAAATGCCATGGAAATCGGGTATATTCGGGTGCATGCTGAGATCTCGCAAAACGAGAAACTCTTCCTCGATTTCCTCGATATTGTCGGCGACATTTTCCAGTATCTTGACGGCCACTTGCGAGCCACTTTCTTTATCGCGCGCTTTGTAAACCTCGCCGTAAGTTCCCTCTCCGATCAGCTCCTCGAGGCTGAAACGATCCTCGGGATCGGGCACAGACTCGAAATTAACGTGTTGGCTGAGACCTCGATACGTCATGTTGGCTGCCGGGTCTGTCAAGTCTGAAAATATGAAAAGTATACATTTTATACGCTACAACCTCGTATAGCAATATCAAATACGCGTAAAGAAAATTTTATTAAAAAAATTAATTAATGTATTTGCTTCACACCACATAAAGAGAAGAAATATGATTAATTTTTAACACCTTCTATCACTCAAACATACAATTTTCAGAAAAATCACTGCAAATGCCACATCCAAATGAATCACCAGAAATCAAAATCAATTTACCAACCAAATGCCATAATCTCAAATTCCTTTTCGAATGTTTGGTATCTCGTTCAACGAACAACTAACATTTTTCAACCGACATAGTACGCGGAGTCGTTATTCCGAGATCGAATGAACACCGACTGAACTGTTGGAGCAGTTGACAAAGTAAAAACTGATGCTAATCAGATACCTGTTAACCCTCTGTAATTGGATCGAGTTTGAGGCCGGCGCAGTGGTTACGTTCTATCGTTTTTCTATCCCTCCATTTTTCTATTTCTATGCAATCATCTATCACACGAGCTACTGCGCTTGTTAATGAATTTTTAGAGAATATTGAATTTTTAAAATTCATCAAATAGGACTAGCATCGTTAACTTTTTGTAAGAGAATACATTTTTGACCAATTTTATAGAGTAAACGAATTTTTCCATATGATTTTTAGGTATTTCACGATGCTAGATTACTTATACTCGCTAGATTTTTTGATAATTAGGAGAATTTTATTGACTCATTTTTTAAAAAGACTCGAAAAAGCGTAAAAAATGATGAATTTTAAAGCGTTAGAAAATTTTTAATTTATTATTAATGTAAAAATAATTAATTTACAATGAACTGTTTTTGCAACATTTTACATTTACAGTTTGTCAAAAAGTTTATGAACGATAATAATTATGAAGTCTATTCAAATGAATGTATCACGCTTGCAATGTTGGGCCCAGTCTTCTTTCGAACATATATATAAAAAAAAAGGAAACCTTAGAAGGTGTGAAGCCACTCGTGACCCGAGAAACATGTCTCGATTTTGAAATCGATTTAACCAGACGTATGTAATGTATAAACTACATTCGACTGGACTACATTTTTTTTAAACGCGTTATGGGTGAGAACATCTTCACAGTTTTAAACGATTTTCCTTTTAATGTGAAATTAAATATTTTCAGGCCTCTTGCTCCAGGCATATACATGGGTACACAGATTACCCGTTGTCCAAGAAAATCGAAACAAATGTTAAATATTGCATCAATGATGACAAGTTTTTTGTACTAATTATTCAAAACTGTACAAGAAAATAATTATAACTTCTTTGAGAAGATACAAACAACAAATTGTAAAGTCTTTTGTTATAAAATATAAAATACTAGCCTGAACGAGTGTTGCGTTGGAAACCCGCGATTTGCATAAGGCTTGATATGTATCATCTCATTGTATTACTTTTATTTGTTCTAAAAGTTGAGATACAGGATTACGTGAATCCCCGTTATTTATTTGCTGAGCTCAACAGCTTATGGTTGTTGCAAAATGACAGTTCTTGATTTGAAAAAAATTTAAATATACACTAGTGAACAATTTTTCAAATAAATAAGTGAATAAAAAATTGCGAATTGACTCATTAACGAATAAACCGGACGAACCATTTTTACAGCTGAACAAATTAATAAAGAGTTGAGTTTTGCGTGTGCGAGAATAAAAATATCAATATTTTATTCTCATGCAGAGGCGAGCGTTTCAAGAATCGGTGACGCACGTATGCGACGGTCAATCTGCGATCCCTGCACAGCCGAGGTATTAGAGCGAAGAAGCCTTTTACGAGAAATTGGCTTAAGATATCGGCTGCGTTTCAGGCTGCATAATATATTGACTGCAAATTTAGCTCGAATTTATATGTATATGCTTTGTTAACTGACCGACTGATCAAGGCCTTTATACTCAGTGTGGTAATTCTTTTAATTTCCATGCATTTTTTTTTGTAAGTAAAGTAGTACAAAATACCGCACTGACAATAATCATGCGACTGCGGTTAAAAAAAATTTGAAATTACCGTTGATCATCATTTAGGAGATGCTAAAGACAGGGTAAATGTAATTTCTAAAACGTGTTATCAAAGACTTCTGTGAAATAATTTTCCCCAAAACTACACCGAAGTCTTTATTTTACAATGTTGCCTTTTCATTTTTACTCAAAACCTTCTTGATATTTTGAAAAAATATTTCTATTGTCTTGACTGTTTACGTACTATTTGAAAAAATTACTTCCGGTTGCTGTCGTAAACGAGTACTTTTCAACGCCTATCTTATGCATAACGCCTAACCTACTGTAATGAAGTAATTATGCTAGTGAAATTTAATTTCATACGAATTAAAGTACAAGAAAGAATTGAAAAAAAAATGTTTACATTCTCTTGTCGTTGCAGTGAAAAACTCGAAATTATCTCAATTTAAAACTACATTTATTGCAAAAAAATATATTAAAACTGTCCTATATTTTTATGCGATATAAAGTGTCATCATTTAACGAGTTAATTTCTATTATTAAATACAAAAGTATTATAATAAGCCAAATGCTTTTGAATATGATGAAAGGTAGGTTTATCTCATTGAAGATATTATAAGCATAAACAGGCTGAGTTGTTACATATAAAAAACTTCTTTAGTGTTTTTAAAAAGTTAAACATATTTATCTCGGAATGTCATACGCGAAAAGAATAGTTTAACACAAAGAAAGTCTTTTCGTCATAGAAATGTACAACGATGATTTCGAAAATAAAATTGTCCACTCGCACGAGCCATGCCATGCATGCCGGAACAACAACGTAAAACTCATATATAACACAAAAACCTTTAGCAGTGGAAGCTTGTATATATTTCTCCGAGCAACACAAGCGTGCACGCAGGGAAAAACAAATAAAAAAAAATCCCGCACAGTACACTCTTTTAAAGATCTAATCTGCGGGGCAAAACGTTTATTCCTCGTAATAAATGCGCCGCTGCGTGTGTATTTTAATCACAAGCTGCGGTGGGTCGGCACATTAATGGATAGAGTAGTACACCACGCACAAAAAATTTGCCAATGAAAATACGTTTTACGTTCGTGAGCGACTTTTTAGAATTGTGCTCAGTAGCAGCAGCGGCGGCGGCGGCAAAATTGTACTTTTCATTCAGTCGGTTAGGCACAGAAACAGTCGGGCGGGCGACGGCGCAAAGAATGGGAAACTAGATGTGGAAGCGAGCGTGGAATATATATACGCATTGTCCGGCAGAAGCAATTTTTTTCAAAGGCGTTGATACGCGATGATTGGTGGAAAGTGAGCTGCGAGATTTCGGCTGCATGGGTCTAGCCTGGGCGACACACTTTCGCTGCCTTTTGAGCGCATAAATACACAACAATCGCCATGGTGAAAAATACCGTTTTGACTTTTTATTTATGCACGGTTTTGACTGCGTGGATTATGCTATTGAAAAAAAGCGAGTGAAATGACTTGCATTTTTATTTGCCGTCCTTTTGTTTTCTCTTTAATTTTTGACCTATTTATAGTGTTTAGAATTTAATTTTGATATTTTGCCGTGTGCTTTTTTTAACTATTTAAAAAAAACAAAAATTTATTATTTCAAATTTAATGTAAAATCAGCTATGATAATAAAGCAACCAACAATGGATTTTAAATTTATGAAAATTTAATCGTAATTAAAGCCAGCGTCTAACACTAGATGGCGAGTACCTTTAATTGTAAATCTGCAAGTGGCAAAGTCAAAATAATCGTACAAGTTAAAACACGGCTTTAAAAATTTATAATAACTCTACATTTTTTTTAATTTCTTCAAAACTTTGTTCCTCAACTCTGACTTTTTAATTAGTCATTTAAAAAATGAGTGTTTACCTGACACTCAAATTGCTCTGTCTAATTTTCCAAAGTATAATTTTCCTACAGTCCATAATTAAATTGAACGCGCTAGCTGAACTGTAATTTGCAACTTATAGCTCGCAAAAATCCCGACGATATTCACCAGTCACTCGAAAAGCAATCATCGGTGCCAGCCAAAAAGCGAAAGTTCGTGTGGCCCATAAATCACCGCGTAGAGACAAAATAAAAAAAAAACGCGAAAGTAGACAATAAAGTTAGCTACTGGCGATTACTTCCGATGCTACATACACACACACAGCGAACCTATTTCCGGTGATTCTATCGTAAACTGTCGAGAGAGAGAGAGAGAGAGAGACAGAGACCAACGCGTATAACGGTGCATGTAATACGTCGATGGAAGAGCTCGGCGGCGCTTGCTGAAACAATGGGATTTTCATTGTAGTATTTTTTGTGCGATGCGCCAGAGAGATCAATGTACACTAAGATATGTTCGAACTTGGGTTCCCACCGCGTGCACTTGGATTTATGCAAAGTATTTTATTTCATTTTTTTTTTTCATTTATGATTGATTCTTTACGCGTTGGCTGTATAATACAAAGCGCCGGTGTGTGTAAAACGAGATTTACCAAGCTTCTCAAGAATTTTCCCAGATCAAATACCTGTGAGCTATAAAAACCCACGAAAAAAGGGGACCAGAAAACAATCGCAACGCGCCGCGTACAAAGAATCCAAAGTAAAAAAAAAAAGCTAACTCGAACCACTTTAATTTACTTGCACTCATTAAACGCCGTATATGTGTGTAATATATATAAATGCGAGCAGCGAGGAGGTGCTCAGCTCGCTCGTGCCGTTGCACTTGCTGGTGCTAGAGCGCGCCTGCGAGAGCATCGAACGCAGCTCTGCACTACATGCGGCTACGGTCGCGAGGCTTTGCGGTACTTTTTTTTACGATTAAATCTCATTCATATATATACTCCTCTCTCGTTATAATATTAATTTGCATGTAATCGAGGCTGCTGAACATGTGCTCGGTTCAGTAAGTCGAAAAAATGCGCGTATACATACACGTTCGAGGCGCAACTGTATGGAATTTTTGTGTCAAGTTAACGCTGTTGCGTGCAAAAAGTGCTCGGGCTTTGTGCATTT